CAGAATCTCCACCACGCCAACATGACCAACTGTAGCAGATTAGAGGAGTGAAACCAGGGGACAGACTGTTAGATTACTCTCCAACACCAACATACAAATGTACATATAAATATACAGTGCCTTCAGAAAGTATTTATACCCCTTGACTTATTTCACATTTTGTTGTATTACAAATTATTTGTTTTTATCACCCATCTACACACATTATCCCATAATGACAAAGTGAAAACATGTTTTTAGAAATGTTTGAAAATGTTTTGAAAATGAAATACAGAAATATCTAATTTACGTAAGTATTCACACCCCTGAGTCATTAGAAACACCTTTGGCAATGATTAGAGCTGTGAGTCTTTCTGGGTAAGTCTCTAAGAGCTTTCCACACCTGGATTGTGCAACATTTTCCCATTATTCTTTCCAGAATTCTTCAAGCTCTGTCAAATTGGTTGTTGATCATTGCTAGACAACCATTTTCAGGTCTTGCCATAGATTTTAAAGTAGATTTAAGTAAAAACTGTAACAAGGAACATTCACTGCTTTCTTGGTAAGCAACTCCAGTTTAGATATGGCCTTGTGTTTTAGGTTATTGTCCTGCTGAAAGATAAATTAATCTCCCCGTGTCAGACTGAACCAGGTTTTCCTGTGGGATTTTGCCTGTGTTTAGCTCAAACTCCCCTGTCCTTAACGATTACAAGCATACCCATAACATGATGCAGCCACCACTATGTTTGAAAATATGTTCCAGGAAACTAGGCATATGTCGCATGTCACTACTTCACAGGAGAGGCATTTGAATGTAAAATCAAAATGCATTTTTGGGCAGAAATTCCTTCTGGAACATGTGAACTTTCATGTGCCTTAATAAAAAACGTGTATGCCATCTGTAAATACAAATAAATTGGTAAATTACAAGCCTAGTTGGTTTAGCCACGGAAAAAGACAGGAACCTTCCTGCTAGCCATGATTGGCTGAGATAATGGATAGGCTGGACATGCTGAGAGATGAGTTCGGATTGGTCTATAACATGAGATGCTCAGTATGTGTAGATAATCTTTTCTACCGTGGCTTTTTTATATATCATGAAGAACTGCAAAAGTGTTGCTACTGCTCACAACTGATATTAACAGGTGCTATCGACAAAGGTCAGTGGGAAAAAGTTTTGATGGACTACTTTCTGGAGGACGATTGTGCCATGCTGAATCATACGATGAGGAAATCCCTGATTTAGGTAAAAATATTTTAATTGAACCAGACATTGTAGAATCTTCTGATGACAGTGATGGGGAAGAAACGGCGATCAACAGTATAGTTGTTACGGAAGAAGTTGACTGAGTTTTGAAATCAGTGGAATGCCTGGTGGAAGCAGAGAGATGATAGTCAAAAAGAGAACACAGAAGGCTGTTGTATAAAACACCTGTCTCCGGATTACATCTTCATACTAAGAGCAACCATGGCATCCGTGACAGAGGGGGAGAAGCGTTCATTCATGTATACGGGTAAGAGTCTAGCTACATTTTCAAATATTATATGTTTCTAATTTTGTCAGAAAGGAATTTTCATTGCAAGTTAAAGCGTACTGTTAGCTAGCTAGCTAATGTTAGCTGGCTCGCTAGCTAACGTTACGTGTATGAACTGTGTAGTAATATTATTCGTATCTCTAGCTAGCTAACATTGAACCTAGTTGGTTAGCTAAAGGCAACCATGGCATCCATGACAGAGAGGGAGAAGCGTTCATCCATGTATACGGGTAAGAGTCAAGCTGCATTTTCAGATATTATAGTGCTTTCAAGACAACTGGGAATTCAGAAAAACACGAGGTGAAATCATGACGTCAGTGATCTACAGGTCGGAAAGTCCCAGGTCTAAAAAAAGGCCAGTTCCGGAGTTGGAATTCCGAGTTAGATGACAGTTCAAACGATTTTTCCCAGTCAGAGCAAAATGTTTTACGAGTTCCCAGTTGTCTTGAACACTCTGAAATCGGTAGTCAAAGATTTCTGAGTTCCCAGTTCCCAGTTGTTTTGAACAAGGCATTATACTTTTCTAATTTTTATCAGAAAGTCGTTTTCATTGCAAGTTAAACCGTACTGTTAGCTAGCTAGTATGAGCTGTGTAGTAATATTATTTGTATCTCAGAAAGCCATTTGCATTGATAGTTATAGCCTAAAGTTTGCTGGCCTAGTTGGCCTGCATTGGACCTAGTTGGTTAGCTTTAGCTACCTGCAGATTCATGCATGGTAGTATGGGTTGGATTATGGGTCTAAACAAAAGACTCCACTATGCAAGTAACCATTTCACTGTACCGTTTACACCTTCTGTATCCTGTGCATGTGACAAATAAACTTTGATTTTATTTGATATAGTGTGTTTTTATTAGAGACGGTAATGTGAAGAACAACATGACCTATTAGGATATAGGCCAAGGACTAGATAAAGTGTATTTTTACTACTACTTTTTTGCTACTACTTTCACCACTTTTAGTATTAATCTTTGGTTGTTTACTACACTACCTTACTCACTGTTTACCACATGTTCTCACATGGGAATCCTTAAAGAGATGGGTGGGGCTAAAGCTTAAGAGGGTGTGAACGATATTGAATGGGTGTAGACAAAGAAGAGCTCTCCAGTAGGTGTAGCAAAATATTTACGGCCATTTTCTCAAAAGTGGGGTTACAAGTTGATCAACTTTTAAAGCAGAATTGCATTCGCATTGTTCCTCAACTGCAGTGTATGATATACCATTTTCTAGCCCTGAGTCTCTACTTTTATCCAATGTAAAAAACACTATTTCCAATTTTGCTACATAGGACTGAATCAAGGTGGTGGGTCACATATGAAGAGTGGTACTCAGTAATGTGTTGTATTGGATTTGCCCCAAAAAGAGCACTTTGTATTCAGGCCAAAAAGTGAATTGCTTTGCCACATTTTTTGCAGTATTACTTTAGTGCCTTATTGCAAACAGGATGCATCTTTTGGAATATTTTTATTCTGTACAGGCTTCATTCTTTTCACTCTGTGGAGTAACTACAATGTTGTTGTACTATTCTCAGTTTTCTCCTATCACAGCCATTACACTCTGTAACTGTTTTAAAGTCGCCATTGGCCTCATGGTGAAATCCCTAAGCGGTTTCCTTCATCTCCGGCAACTGAGCTAGGAAGGACTTCTGTAACTTTGTAGTGACTGGGTGTATTGATACACCATCCAAAGTGTAATTAATAACTTCACCATGCAAAAGGATATTCATTGTCTGCTTTTTTTTTTTTACCCATCTACCAATAGGTGCCCTTCTTTGCGAGGCATTGGGAAACCTCCCTGGTCTTTGTGGTTCAATCTGTGTTTGAAATTCGCTGCTCGACTGAGGGACTTTACAGATAATTGCATGTGTGTTGTACAGAGATGAGGTATTCCTTCAAAAATCATATTGACCACTATTATTGAACACAGAGTGAGTCCATGCAACATATTATGCGACTTGTTAAGCACATTTTTACTCCTGAAATAACTTAGGCTTGCCATAACAAATGTGTTGAATACTTATTAACGGAAGACATTTCAGCTTTTCATTTGTAATTTATTTGTAAAATGTTCGAAAAACATTATTCCACTTTGACATTCTGGGGTATTGTGTGTAGGCTCTAACATAACAAAATGTGGATAAAGTCAAGGGGTGTGAATACTTTCTGAAGGCACTGTAGCTATGTGGTGTGACGTACATGCGCATTGATGTCCACAGAGGTGTAGAGGGGGAGCATGGAGGGTGGAGACACTGAGTTGATGGGTGTCTGTGCTGTGGGTATGGGCGAGGTGTTGTAGTGTTCAACACAGGCACTCTGCTGCTTACCGCTACTGTCACAAGGGAAGATGGAGAGATAAGCTGTTAATAAGAGTAAACCTTCAAATTACAACTACATCATATTACATTCGAATTTAAGATTTAATTTAAAACCAGTTGTGCATTATGTTGAACATGTATTGAAACCATGTTCAGCATTAAGGAAAAGGATGGGGGACGGAACACTGTCCCTATTTTTAGTTATTAGAATAATTAAGGAAAGTGAAGAACCAGCTTCTACAGTAACTGCTCACTTACCTGCCATGATGTCGTCCAGCTTGTCTGTGACTGTATGTGCCGGGAAGGCCACTATGAGTCTTTCGGGGGCCTGGGTGAGAAGGTCCGGTCCCAGGCCTGTCAAATGCTGCCCCAACATCTGCTGCTGGCTCACCATCAGCCTCAGCAGATCAGGGCTGGATCTGTCGGGGTAGTCTGCTGTACTAAAGTCTGGAATTATTTGATTTATTAGGATCCCAATTAGCCGACGCCAATGGCGACAGCTAGTCTTTCTGGGGTCCGACACATAACGAATAAGACATTACAGACAAAAGACTACAATTTACATGCATTCATGAACATTAACATGTAGTTTGTGTGTGTGCATCTATTAGTTACACATACATGTCAGTACATACACACAACAAGTAGGTCACATGGGGGAGAGGTGTTGTGCTGTGAGGTGATGCTTTATTCGTTTTTTGAAACCAGGTTTGCTGTTCATTTGCACTATATGGGATGGAAGGGAGTTCCATGCACTCATGGCTCTGTATAATACTGTACACTTTCTTGAATTTGTTCTGGACCTGGGGACTGTGAAAAGACCCCTGGTGGCATGTCTGGTGGGGTACGTGTGTGTGTCAGTGCTTTGTGTAAGTTGACCATGCAAGCAATTTGGATTTTCCAACACATTCATATTTCTTATAAAAACAAGTGATGCAGTCAGTCTTTCCTCAACTCTTAGACAAGAGATACTGGCATGCATAGTATTAATATTACCCCTCTAACTAGGTCTTTCTTTGCAGCACTTGACCATATGACTGGACAATAATCAGGATAAGCTAAAACTAGAGCTTGCAGGACTTGTTCTGTGGAGTGCTGGGCGGCCAAGGAACGAAGCTGGTCTACAGGGGCTGCCCCGGGTCATCCTTCAAGCATTTGGCCTTCGTGTACTGTTCAGTGAACTGCTCCTTGAGGATCTTCTTCTTCTGCAGCTGGGCCTTCTCTATGGCTGAGATCCTCTGGCCCAGCTCGTTCAGCTTGCCCTCTGTCTATCCCACGATTCACTCCAGGGGCTGGTACGGGTGGAAGGGGGGCAGCAGGTCTGGGTTTGGACCATCTGCAGCGACGAGGCTACCCTGTAGGGGGCTCAGCCTCTGCTTTGAGCTACACAGGACAACACAACCGGTTAGCTACAAGGTTGTACCATACAACATTACAGTAACCATTACCTGTAACGCTTTAATGCCTTGTGCCGTCAACTGATGTCTAGTTGTCTTCTTGGTCAGGGAAAAAACTAAGTTAGACCTATATTTTCTGTTGGACTGACCTTTTGTGATGACCGGTGGAGGTGTTGTGATGTTGGATGGTACTCCGTCTGGCTCTTGGGGAGTCACCACCATTGCCAGGGCTTGGAATGGAACTTATGGAGCCTGTTTGGGTTAGGTAAGATGTAAGGAGATGTTAGAAAGCATATTTGGTATCAATATTTGATATCAACTTGGTGTCAATACAACTCCATCCAGACAAATAAACAAACATGTTTGTAGAAGTACAGTAGTTGTTTGTCTGTTAGTAAACCAGCAGTCCCTATCTGAGAGGTGTCATGGGAGGGGTGTGTGAGCTCAGATTGGTCTGGCGCGGGGACCAACAGGATGTTGTTGGGGTAGTCAACGAGGTAGGACACCACGATGGTGTGACCACCCTTAGCACCTCCTTCTCCTCTTCACAATCCTTCCGTGTCCTCCTCATCGCTGCAGGATGATTCTAAGATCTGGCTCATGTCCATCTTCCAACTGTCAGGGTCCACCTTGATTTTGAGGGAATGCACTGCCCCGTCCAACCCTAGGAGCAGCCAGTGCAAGTCAAGAGTTACAGATTAATCCAGTTCCTGAACCAAGTGGAATATGAGGGTAGAGCTCCTTAGGTGAGCCATCCTTACCGTTCCTCGACGAGATCTAAGGCTTAGAGATGCTATCCATGTTCAATTCATGGATCTCCTTTCTTGCACAGTGTGACTGAAAAAGAAGAAAACACACAAAAATATCTAAATGCATGTGCAAAAACAATGTGAGAAGACTGTATTAGCAAAAATACATGCCTATTTACATTGCCCTTGGATAGAACATGTATGACAGGGCAAAAATCAAACAAGACATAATATTTGGAAACTGACCAGAATTTCCTTAACTATACACAAAAGTAGGATAAACAATGCTTACAATTTGGAGTCTGCAAATTACCTCACTAAACATTGGTCCTTCTTGACTTTATTTAGAGTGATTCTGTCCCCCTCTGATTCATGTTCCTGCAAGACAACAGAAAGCCAGGACTGAGTCAAATTGACACATGGAAACACATGAGCCTATTCAAGCAGTCATGCATCTAAACAACACCCAGGCTGTGTCCAAAAGGGCACTGTATTCTTTTGATCAGAGCCTTAATGTCCCTGGTCAAAAGTAGTGCACTATAAAGAGAATATGGTGCCATTCGGGAAGCACACCCACACCTATGCAAACGTGTGAACAACTCATTGACAACAGCTGTGTATTGACATGAACTGTGTTTCCCAGAGATGAGGCCAGGCCAGAGGGTTAGGGAGAGGTCTCACCATGTCAGCCCCCGTCATCCACATCTGTGTGTCCGTTCTCTCAGGCATACATCAGCGCTGTGTCTCCCGTCGCTGTGGTGGCATGGACATTGACTCCTGAGGACAAGAACACAGGCGTCAAATTACACACCGAGGGTTGAGTGTGTGTGTGATCAGAATAACAAAGAAAAACTTTGGAGGAAATGTTGGTTTTGGTGATAGCCAAGTGAATTGCGATAATGTATAAATTGAGGATGAGACAATCTCAAATAGAGGTTGGTAGAGTTTGGTTTGAGAGAACCAAACAGAGAGGCTGTCCAGTTAGTAGAGCTTCTGCTCACCTGCAGCCAGCAGGTATTTGACCAGCTCCAGGTGTTCCTCCGTGAGAGGCGTTGAGCAGCCCAGGTTGATGGCAGGGCCGTCACCTGGGTCTCCTCTGTCTGAGTGTGTCACGACTTCCGCCAAGGCTGCCTCCTCTCCTTGTTCGGGCAGGCTTCGGCGTTCATCATCACCGGCTTACTAGCCACTGCCGCTCCATTATTCATCATTCCATTTGTCTTGTCTTGTTAATTACACACACCTGGTTCTTACACCCTCATTAGTTTGTGTATAAGTGTTCCCTCTGCCCCCCTTGTCCTTGTGGGTGATTGTTTATTTGTGAGAGTAGTGTAGCTCGGTGAAGCTACTCGTACCTTGTTATTGCCAGGGTAGATATGTCCCCTTGCCTGTTATTGTTGGAGCTACCGTTACCTTGTATTTGCCAGGGTAGATTTTCCCCGTGCCTGTTTTGGTTGTCGCTAATAGCGCTATTTGTGTACGATGGAATAAACTCTGCATTCGGTGATTACCCTCCTGCGCCTGACTCCTTCTATCACACTCATCACAGAGTGTTGATGTTGGCAGCTTTTAAAAACAGAAACAACAGATGGATGATTCAAGGTGGTTTTGCTGGGAACGCCGTTTTAAAGGGGTACTAATCTATTCCCATTGTTGGCTATTGACCTCAGCAAAATTATTTCAATTCGTTTTCGAAAAGCCAGCCTGTCGCTTTTGCATCAACTCAATAAGAACATGAGCTTAAAACTGTCTGAATATAATCATTTCACGTCATAATTTTGTTTCCAAAAGAGGGGTTTCATATTTTGCCTCAACACTGAGCTTGGACGGTCAATATGGTAGGTAAAACCTCTAAACAGAAGCACTGGTTTAATTCAAAACCAGAGAGAAAGAGAAGCCCATACCTAGTACCAAAAGCAGTGTTGCCATCTCCTCTTGGCCCTCTCGTGCAGCCTCTATGAGTGGAGTGTATCCCTCATCGTTGACAGCAGTGTAAAGTACTTAAGTAAAAATACTTGAAATTACTACTTAAGTCGTTTTTTGGGGTATCTGTACTTTACTTTACTATTTATATTTTCGACAACTTTTACTTTTACTTCACTACATTCCTATGAAAATTATGTACTTTTTGCTACAAACATTTTCCCTGACACCCAAAAGTACTCGTTACATTTAGAATGCTTAGCAGGATGGGGAAATTGTCTAATTCACACACTTACCAAGAGAACATCCCTGGTCATCCATTTTTACATTTTAGTCATTTAGCAGACACTCTTATCCAGAACGACTTACAGGAGCAATTAGGGTTAAGTGCCTTGCTTAAGGGCACATCGACTGATTTTTCACCTAGTCGGCTCGGGGATTAGAACCAGCAACCTTTCGGTTACTGGCACAACGCGCTTACCTACTAAGCTACCTGCTGCCCTACTGCCTCTGATCTGGCGGACTCACTAAACACATGCTTCATTTGAAAATTATGTTGGAGTGTTGGAGTGGGCCCCTGGCTATCCATAAAAAAAAAATGGTGCTGTCTGGTTTTCTTGATATATGGAATTTTAAATGATTTCATACCTTTACTTTTACTTTTGATGCTTAAGTATATTTTAGCCATTTCATTTACTTTGATACTTAAGTATATTTAAAACCAAATACTTTTAGACTTTTACTCAAGTAGGATTTTACTGGGTGACTTTCAGTTTTACTTGAGTCATTTTCTATGAAGGTATCTTTCTTTTTACTCAAGTATGACAATTGGGTACTTTTTCCACCACTGATCATAGACCTCTTCCAGGTTGGCGCCCCTCTCGATCAGCAGGGCAGCCAGCTCTACATGTCCCCCACAGGCCGCCAGCGTCAGTGGAGACTCAAACGAGTCCGCAGGCATGTTGACCTGCGCCACGCTGTCCAATAACAGAGTTCGGTCCTCGTGCTAGCTGGGCTATGTTACAGATGAGTTGGCGTGTAAGCCTGTAAGAACAAATTTGATAATTTCGTTGAGAGTAGTGGGTGGATGCAGATTGCTCTCTGCCATTGCAAGGCATAAAATGTATGTTGACAAGGGTATGGACCTCTCTGAAGGTATTCCTCTCTACAAGTCTGTATTTGTTGTTGAGAGACTCCTTTCAGGTGATCCCTAGCCCCATACAGCTGTGGAAGGCTGTACATAAGCAGTGGATGACCATTAGGAACTACAGCTTTTCTGCATGGGTGGATTCTGTGAGTGTCCCAGAGATGAACAAAGTGCTGGAATTCTTCCTAAAGATAAAAAATACAGGCTCTGTCGCAGCCGGCCGCGACCGGGAGACCCATAGGCGGTGCACAATTGGCCCAGCGACGTCCAGGTTAGGGGAGTGTTTGGCCGGCAGGGATGTTCTTGTCCCATCGCGCACTAGTGACTCCTGTGGCGGGCCAGGTCCACAACGACCAGGATGGTGGTGTTACCTTTAGAGAGGGGAAGATTGGTAAGGAAATCAACACTCAGGTGAGACCATGGTCGTTGTGGAACTGGTAAAGGCTGTAATTTACCCGCTGGGAGGTGCCTTGGTGCCTTACTCTGGGCGCACACCGAGCAGGAGGAGACATACACCCTCACGTCCTTAGCCAAGGTAGGCCACCAGTACTTTCCGGTCAGGCAAGTTATATTTTGGTTTCATCTGACCATATGACATTCTCCCAATCCTCTTCTGGATCATCCAAATGCACTCTAGCAAACTTCAGACGGGCCTGGACATGGCTTAAGCAGGGGGACACGTCTGGCACTGCAGGATTTGAGTCCCTGGCGGCGTAGTATGTTACTGATGGTAGGCTTTGTTACTTTGGTCCCAGCTCTCTGCAGGTCATTCACTAGGTCCCCCCGTGTGGTTCTGGGATTTTTGCTCACCGTTCTTGTGATCATTTTGACCCCACGGGGTGAGATCTTGCGTGGAGCCCCAGATCGAGGGAGATTATCAGTGGTCTTGTATGTCTTCCATTTCCTAATAATTGCTCCCACAGTTGATTTCTTCAAACCAAGCTGCTTACCTATTGCAGATTCAGTCTTCCCAGCCTGGTGCAGGTCTACAATTTTGTTTCTGGTGTCCTTTGACAGCTCTTTGGTCTTGGCCATAGTGGAGTTTGGAGTGTGACTGTTTGAGGTTGTGGACAGGTGTCTTTTATACTGATAACAAGTTCAAACAGGTGCCATTAATACAGGTAACGAGTGGAGGACAGAGGAGCCTCTCAAAGAAGAAGTTACAGGTCTGTGAGAGCCAGAAATCTTGCTTGTTTGTAGGTGACCAAATACTTATTTTCCACCATAATTTGCAAATAAATTCATAAAAAATCCTACAATGTGATTTTCTGGATTTTCTTTTCTGAATTTGTCTGTCATAGTTGACGTGTACCTATGATGAAAATTACAGGCCTCTCTCATCTTTTTAAGTGGGAGAACTTGCACAATTGGTGGCTGACTAAATACTTTTTTTCCCCACTGTATGT